GAGAGAGAGAGAGAGAGGGAGAAGCTATTAGAGTGAGGAGCGAGAGAGGGATTCGGGAATACCCAGTAGCTCCGGGCTCATTTGAATTCGACGCTCAATAATGTCCCTTAGGAGTACCGAAATATCTCAATATGTGTATATAACATCGTGCCGGCGGCGTGGCTTACGATCTCTAGCGATATTTGCTTCGGCGGTGCCATCCATCAAGGTTGCATAATACAATTCGTCGAAACCGTTGATGTGCAGAGAGCACCTCGATAACTTTCAGCGCCGCGGACAACAATTGGCAAATTGATCGCGATGTGATCGGCGGAAAATTCCATCTCTTCAACGAAATCGCGCTAACGTCGTTCAATAATTTTTATCGTAGCAATTATATAAATATGAAAAATTTTTTGCCTCTGCATAAGCCTTATGTCAATTTAAAAATATATATTTCAAAAAAAATTACAAATCTTGCTAATAAAAAACGGATCTTCTGAATTTATGCCGGGAATATTGCCGGGATAAAGAATGTAGAAAAATATTCCGTCCGTAAAAATACGATAAAATGTCCCGAGGATGCTGTCGCCAGGGCCTTCGCTTGGTAGCAAACGGGGAAGTCACAGGCAAAGAGCAACATTCGCCTGGAGGGATGGATTTTCCTGTCGGAGGTGGAGTTTAGAGGTCGGGAAATTAGTTTAGTTATGCGCCCGGCAGGGACGTCTCTTACGTTTCCACTACGGACATAAGTCCTCGGCGGAGCACGTACATGTTCTAGGACTCTCTCCTCCTCGTTGTCCTCTCTTCAATTCGACTTTCTCTCTCTCTCTCTCTCTCTCTCTCTTCCTCTCTTTTGATCCTCGCAAACTTCCTCGAGTCTTCCTCTCGGCTTGCGCACTCCTCGCGAATTCCGAAGAATCAAGCCGCCGGCTACCGGTCCTCGAAAAATCAAGGGGAGAGAATTTTTTAAGCGAGAACAAACCGAGCGAGCGGAAGCGAGGATCTTCAAGAACGGAACAGTGACTACCCTCTATTGAGGGTTGTTACTACTTAACTCCGGAGCAGCTGATCGACGAAGACGTCATCGACTCGAGATCCCCCGACTGTCTCGCGCGAGTGCAGATTCACCCGACTATCGAGCGATCTTAAACGCGGCTCGTTATAAGTGCCGCTTTGTTCGCTCTGCGCCTTGCTCTCTTGAATGCCATTTGAAATTTAAAATATTAACGGGATACTTTGAATGGCAGAAATTAAGCCTCTCTCGCTGTCGACTTAATCCCACAGCAAAGTATTTCGGATACTTTTTGTCACAAATGAGCATCTGCTTGTGTGCTGAGTGCGCATAAAGTGGAGAACTCGTGAGAATCATGCTCGTATTGGAATACGTATCTCAAAGAATTATAGCATAGAAATTCGCGCCGGATTATTTTATGAAGCTTCTAATACTTGCTCCTAAATCGTATACTTTCTGCCAATCATTATCTATGCATTTTCTGTCGCGACGCGAGTCTATGAGAATATGTCATCTGAATGTCTGACGTTATTCTGAATGTGTTTAATATAACATGAAATAAATAAATAATTGCGTGTGTTGTGTGTAATTTTATCTTCTATATGTAATTTGACATCGACTTACTTGAGAGTCTTCCTCGGTAAAGATAGCGTCGAACGCAAACATCTTTGGCGCTGCTACAGTAGGCCGTCGATCTTCTGCCGATGAAGATTGCCCGGATGTAGGGTCCACTAGAGTAACCTGCTTTTTTCGTTTGTCCGCGTTGAAGAAGCTGCCTCCGTCTCCGGGCGACACTCTCAGCATGACTTTCACCTGGGCGAAACATACAAAAATTGCAATTAAATTTCTCTTCTATCAAAATCAATTTTTTAGGATTCTAAATTGAATGTTAAATCCGAAATACGATAAAAATTCACGAAATTATTCACAATTGTTCGACGATCGATACAAGTTTTAATGTTATATGCAAAAAAGTATCTTTATGTTTTTGATTAATCAGCTTGTGATATAAGCGTAAAATAGCTTCATCTTTAACCGTGATTGCGGACGTTATTGTAGTTAACGATAAATGCATCAATTATTGTGAAATTGAATTAGTTTTGGAATCTGCCAATTGGGTAGACAGTAAATTACATTTGGTGACTAAAGATAAAGCTTTCCCGTCACTTAAGCGCTCGGTGAATCCGCTTCAATAGGTTAATACTGTATAATGAATTAGCTCTGCTCTGCCACCGAATAATGCTCTCATCAAAATTATCTGATAGACAGTTTCTGCCGGCAAATGAACGTCAAGTCTAAAATTACTATGACCCACGTTAACCGAACGGTCATTGAACGAGCCACGGTACTTATTGAATGTATATTATGCAGAATTATTAGACAACAAAATTGCAATCTGCTAAAACAATCATACCTACATCAACCTGCGATAATAATGTCTCTGTCAATCATTTTATATAAATATCATGATTAACGTAACGTGATTTGACATAATTAGTATAGAAATAATAACGAGATGATTGTGCAATAATATTTCATCATAATCCACGCAAGATTATGTTAGTTGTACAATGTACAATTACGCTTCCAATTTAACTGAAACGTTTAAAATATTTGCTTTGTTCTCAAATTTTAATTACATAACATTTTTGTAACATATACAATTTTTTTAATACAAAAAACCAATTTTAATTACACGAATTAAAAAAGCGAGTTTGTCGTCGATAAACGTAAAAATACGAGCAAACGGTGACCAATCAATGGACAATTTAAAAATGCCAAGCGCATGACATTTAATTACGATATTCGAGCCGCAACAGACACCGAGTAACATGATAGTGGAGAAACGCGTGTATCCAAATGCATGAGAAGATATTTGCTGGCCACTTGTGAAATCGAATATTGCTCGCAAACGTTAAGCGGACAATTGAGCATTCGGGGAAACAAGTAGTGTGGCTGCTTTATTAAAAGTCACGTATCGGATGAACTCGCGACCTCGCTTATATATAACTTTTAGTATTTGTATTACATTGTGTGATTTTTTTCTTCAACTTTGCATTTTGTAAATTAATTCATATTTTTGTTCGTATATTCATGATTTATTTTCTTAACTTATCAAGCTTTTTTCGCTTCTCTCGAAATTTTATCATTGTCCATAAATTTCTATTATCAATGTTTCAATCGACTACTGCTTCATGTAAAGTGCAACAAAATCAGTTATATTATTGCAACGCGATTATTTTTACGATTTTGAAAAGTACTTTCGAGAGATAATATTTTGTATCCAAGTAATGAAACATAAAGCAAATCAGAAATACGAGAAAAATGAGAAACGATCTAACTGATATTAAGTTGTCTTTTCAGAGAACTTTTCAATTATCTCTATTTGCGATTTGCATTATATTTTACGAACACGCGTACGTTCGCGCGTGATTGAAACGAATTCGAAGTCATTCCGATAGATAAGACACGCGCATCCGTTCTTCCGTGTGAAATCACAGCGATGTATTATTAAAGCCGTATCCGGTGCACCGAGATCGATGCCGTCGGTACCCCGCGAACGGTCCACGATTCGCTCGCACAACACCGCACCGGTCCGTTCGTCTGTCTGTCTGTCTGTCCAGGAAATTGGGTTTGGAGATTTCGTTCAGATTGCGGTGCACGTCCTATCTTTTGCATGCGGAAACACCCCGCCGCTCCGACGACACACAGGTACAAAAATAGACACGCGCCTTTTTTTTTTTTGTTTCTGTCCTTCCCGACCGCGCGACACCCCGTCGTTTTCTCCACAGCGCCTCTTGCGCGTCTCGCCGCTGTGTAATAGTTTCGCGAAAAGATCGGAGCGGTACTGATCGAGCGACCGGAAATAAAACGGCTCCCTCGGCGGTCTTATTGGAGGCAGCGCTCTGCATATACATCGATCGGCACGGATCTCCTCCGCGCCCTTCACACCCTTTCGGGAAGGGTGTCCCACTCGAAGGTGAGTCGACGCCCTCTGTCCCTTCCGTTTCCCGGAACCCCCTGTTATCTGCGAGGTGGCCCTACGTGCTTGCCCGCAGCCACCCGGTATTTCGTTACGAAGCTGATTTCGAGGGTGGATACCAGTTCCGCTCGAACGGACTCGATCGAAGGAGGATCGGTTCTCGGGTTCTCGAAACTGGTGAAGGACACTTCGCGCTACCGAACATGCTCCGGTTCGCAAAGTGTCACGGCCATTACGCGCAGCAATTTGCGGTACAAAATCCCGAATATACCGTGGAGACGGCGTTAATTCCGAGGAGACAGCTATCGGGACAGTTGGTTTTCAAAGCTTAAACGTTTGTGAAAAACTCGTGCAAAGTAAACGTAATAAATTCGACGGAATCCGATCTAGAGAAAAAAAAAGTGACCGATGGATTTTTTTAAAACACTGTCGCGATAGTTTTTCTATTATACAGGAATGAATGCTATCGATTTCCCGTGAACGAGAACGCGAGTTTCGCAATCAATTCTCGTGCGGAATATAAAAACATATACACGTGTATTGCGCGCAAAATTGAAATTGGCTATTAAGTTAAATTTTACATGTACCTATTGCGAATTGATTGCGCGTTACGGTATACAGCTTTCAAGCTGGCCACCATTACCGCAATGCTCGTTAGTTAATTATAATTGCAGTATGATCCGAATTTAATTGATACCCTCACTTTCTCTCTCACATTTTTTTTCCCTTCCGAATTTCTGACGCGCCTGCTTGGAAATGACCTTTATCGTGTCTGAGAGTTCCAGCGCTTGATAGACTTTTACGTACCGCAATAAAGTGCCTGAAAATTACATTTCGGGACGGAGAAGCCTCCGGTAAGCCTGCCTCGTAACCATCAAAGTTTGCCAAAGTACGCACAGTCCTCGAAACAGGACGAGAGGGGGTTTACCACCGCTCTACTCGAATTTATGCGTCCTCTCCACGGACTATGAATCCAGGTTTACGCGCCGGTGCGTTGGAATTAATTAGTTCGCGGTCCAGCCGCTGAAACATGCAACTGATTCGGACGAAAGCTCGGCGATAAACCGTGACGCGCTACTGATCATAGAGATCTCTCCAAGATTGATTAAGAACTTAATCCGACGAGTAATTTACCGAATTACTTCTCACTCAAGTACGTTTACCAGCTGGATATCGATTCCGCTTTGAAAAGTTTGTTCGATATCTGTATATATTATTTTTTTAAATTATAGTACGAATATAAGTTATGTTTTGTATAATAGATTGCTCACGCTTATCAGAATTTTCATTCATCATCACGAGAATAATGATGAGCCATTAAAAAATGTCTCTCGCGTATAACAGGCGTACAGGTAATGCCACCGGAAGTGGCACCTGCGACGGAAGTAGCGCGTTAATTCTTTAATGTTCGAAGGTCGACAGGGCGCTTATGTGTCGTACTCACATTAGGTTAGGTTAGGTTACAGCATAGAAGTATTTTATGGCGGCACCCGTCCACGGGGGGGTATTATCCGCCAATTTACGATCATGGCGAGACGCGTTTCGCGCTTATAAATGAGCGATACGTAGCGCAAAGTTCCACATAAATTCCCGTCCGGTTCTCCGCCGGTCATCGTATGCACGATAAAATCAAGCGATGATCGATTCGCGTGCCGGCGATAAACAGTGTAACGCGATAAACGGTGTAACGCGAGGCAAGACGTCGGTACAAATCATTTTGTAAGCTGAGAGTGACGCTTGAAAATGCGAGGTGCGAAATTAAATGCGCTTACCGGGTGAAAAGCTGACAGCAAAATTCAGTGAAAAACGCGTCTGAGCGAAAGGTGAAAAAAAATGCAGGAGAATTTAATAACACGACACGCAATGCATTTATAGCGAAGTAATATTACAGATAGTTGAGTGTGTTTCAAATACCAAAAAGAAAAAAGAATAATTTCTCCCGCGAATTAAATGACATTAATCAAATTTCACTTAAATAAGCGTTTATATTGAATTTCGAATTTCATGGATATTTATGGCTAGATATTTTGCATAAAGGAATATATAATCTGCATAGTGGTTAGTCTCAGTCAAGTTTGCGGTTTTGATCCGACATCCGTAAAGCGAAATTGTCATCTAGTCTAGTGCGGGAAGTCATACAGGTACACAGCCAAATATTAACGACGTTGCGCACTGCTTTCTCTGCGTCCGTCAAAAGTTCCCGTAATGATCCCAATAACAATTACTGAGCAACGGAAAATCGACGAGACAATACCGGCGCGGGTTTACGGCAAAAGTTAGGCAGCCTATAAGGATTTGATAGCGCCCTTAAAGTACATTATGCAGTGTATAATTATACAAGATAAAATATGCTAATGAAAGTGTGAAGTGAAAATACGTGTTAAGATTGATAATAATAATAAGTTATTATGATTAATAAGTGTTCATAATAATAAGTTATTATAAACTTTACGTAAAATTTTATAGTAGCGTGATAATAAATAATAAATAGAAATATCTATTTGTATCTATTATTCAGCTTTGTATCAAAATTTCATAACAATTTGTAATAACTATTTTCATCTATTATAATCAGATTTATCGCTTACGCATAATTCGTGATTTCGGCTTTAACGTTTCACGAATCGATTGAAAATTCAATTATATCTCTTTCTCTGATACCGCCCGCACAGAGATATTGGCTGTTATTAAACAAGATATGATTGGCGCATTGCAAAGCGCTTTCACGTGAACGCGCGCCACGAGAGACGCCAATGACAGAAACTAATTGTTGAAACTGGAGTGTGCCTCGACTCCGCTTTCCAACAAGGCGCACTGCGGTGCTCCACAG